TTGGCGCCCTATTGGGGGCGGCTGGGCCGTCTTGGGGCGACCTTTGGGGCCTCTTGGGCCGCCTTTGGCGCTTTTAAGACCGACGTAGCGAACATGTTAAACATTTACGTTTTCCGAAGGGAATGGGACGATGTTTGCGTCTTGGGGGTATCTGGGAGGGTTTCTTGGGCCGTCATGAGGGCCTCTGTGGCCGTCTAGAAGCCGTCTTGGGCCCTCTTGGAGCGCTCTGGGGCAGTCTTGGGGCCCTCTGAGTGCGCTCTTGAGCCACCTTGGAGATATCTTAAGGCGCCTTGGGGGCGTTCGCGAGGTATGGGGGATGCCCTGAAGGACTCCTTCGGGGTCTCCGCCGGTGCCCCCGGACATCCTGGAATTAGGTGTGCCCCATCCCTTGTGGGTTTTTCCGTGCCATGTAATAAGGATAAGGTATATATACATATATATATATAGTATCCTTATCCTTCTCTCTCTTTCTTTCTCTCACTCTCTCTCTCTCTCTCTCTTTCTCTCTCTCTCTCTCTCTCTCTCTGTCTCTTTCTTCAACAGTCATTTATGTTTCTCTTTTTTTTTTTCTCTCTCTCTCTCTCTCTCTCTCTCTCTCTGTCTCTCTCCCCCCCTCTCTTTTTTTTGTTCGGCCGAGCTCCCGCGGGAGCGAGCGCGGCCGCAGGTGATCCCCTCCCCAATTGGAATCCATTGCCCCTCTGCTCTGAGGCAGTTGTATAGGAGAGGGAACAGCGGACAGAGTGTCTACACAGTTTGGTGGAATCAGTGAATTCAGCATGGGTCGGGCTTGAAGTGCCTCGAAAAAAAAACGCGCGCACCCGAATCGCAAGCCTATGGCTACATGCGGACGCGGGACAGTTTGCGCCCCGTCGTCGTCCTCGCCCTTGCTCCGTTCCCTTTCCTTTCTTCCGCCCCCTGGATGGCGTCGAAAGCGTCCGCGGCTCGGGCGAGGGGGCGCCCATTCCCACCTCATTATTCCTCGTTCCTCTTTGCCACCCTGCTCCGCCGTCCGTCGCCCTACCTCGCCCGCCGTCCTTGTTCGAAAAATGGAGCCCCTGGTGACGCGTGCCCGTATCAGCGGCATATCGCCTTTTCGATATCCGAGCACAGTGGCGCAACCAAGCAGAAGGGATTGCCAATGCGAGCGTTCGGGGCGCACTCCTAACGCGGGCGGCACGGTCGCCGAACACAGTCGCATCGCTAACATGTGAATTATAGGTGCCTGCGGCAAGGTCCGCCCCCTTGCCAGAGCAGCAGTTTGTATGGCGACGCGTGGGGCTTTGATTATTAAGAGTCCACGACATGTGACACATCTCGCGTTTTCGGACTGATGTGCGGCATTGCGTGGTGTCCTTCGAGGCATGTTTGGGGCGTTTTCGGGCCGTTGGGGGCCGCTTGGGCGCCGCGTTTCGCCGCGGCCGTTCTGGGCCAGGGAAGCGCGTATTTGCAGCTCCCTCGGGGGCGCCCTGGGCCGGGGAAGTGTGTGTTTGCATCCCCCCTGGCTGGGCATGTCGACCTCGGTTCTGGGTTGGCAACGTCGGAACACCCTCGAGGTGGCGAACGTTTACTTTTTTTTGAGATGCGCAGATCAAGGTGTGTTCTGTTTACACAGCTTGCGTCTTCAACTGTGTATGTTCGCGTGCGGGCCCACTGTTTACACCGATCGTGGTGTGATCTGTGTCCACAGATCTCGTTCCCATCTGTGTATTTGGAGTGTGCCCCTCGCGGGCGGCGTTGAGTGGGCGGAAGTGTCACGTTTCTTTTTCGGCTGGTCCATGGGGGGGCCTCGTACGCGGTCTAAATACAGCTCGTGTCTCCAACTGTGCACCTGTTGCGCGCCGCTTGCTGGAGTGGTCTGTGGGCGGGAGTTTCCGCGGGTCTCCCGGCTGGTCCATGAGGGGGCCGTGGTCTGGGCATGCAGAGGCGCGGGGGGTGGGGATGGTGGGTTGTGGGAAGGAAGGGGGTCGATAGGAGGGGTGGCCAAGGGGCCAAGGATGAACGGGACTGGACAAGATGGAAAAATATACGCCCAGGAGCTGCATCATCGGCGTCAGCATCACGAGGACGAGGGAGGCGGGGGGGCAGAAGTCGGGGGCGTGATGTGCAGTAGGGCGCAAAGGATGTGAGGAGGGCAGGCATGTGGACGATGGGGGAAGTAATCCGGCGGAGGAGGACGACGAGGAACGACATGAATTGGCACATGGGGGGTGACGGTGTGGATGAGGGGCACGATGAAGACCTGGGTAATCGGACGGGCATTGGGGGGTGGGGCCGAAGCGAAATTAGATTTGGAAACGGCGGGGGACGGGGCATGAGTTCGAGGCGGGCGCCAGGTAACGATTAGCTGAACAGTGTTTTGCGTGTCCGTGCACCCCCCCAGAACACAATGACCCGTTGCAGAACTTCATGATCTGGGTAATCGTGCGCTTCGTGTTTCTAGGCCGAAGGCTCGAGTCTACGACGCCCCTTGGCTTCGCGATGATGCCGCCCCGATTTGCCAGACCGCATGTGCACAGATACGCATAATACGTGTTTCAACGTTTGTTTCATGACCCGCTCTATAGTAACAGACCCGCGTTGGAATCCAAGCCCCCAGCATTGTCCCCCCCCCCCCTCAAAGCTCGCACGGGCAGGCAGGACGCGCCCCCCCCCCCAGGACGCAACCGATCTGCACCACCACCACCACCATCACCTCCTCATCCTCCTCCTCCTCCTCCTCTTCTCCTCCTCCTCCTCCTCCTCCTCCCTTTCCTCCTCCTCCTCCTTCTCCTCCTCCTCCTCCTCCTCCTCATCATCATCATCATCATCATCATCATCATCATCATCATCCTCCTTCTCCGCTACCTCCTCCTCCTCCTCGTCCACGTCGTTGTTCTCTTCCACCTCCTCATCCTCCTCCTCCTCCTCGTGCTTTTTCTTCCTCCTCCATCGTCCTTTCTCCTTCGTCCTCTGCTCCCGCCACCCGCCGCCCGAAGCGGGAGGCCCTGCAACCGTTCGCCGGCCGCAGGGCCAGGCGGCGTCGGCCGAGCCCCGCGGCTCGCAGGGGGGCGGTCGGGTGAGGGGGGAAGGCTTCTTAGAGGCACCTTTTGTAAATGTAGGGCCTTATTTGTAGATGTAGGGTCGGCGCCTTCTAAGAAGCGGCCTCCTTCTAAGAAGCCTCCCCCTTCCCCTCATAACCCTTGTGCGCGCCGCCAACCATCCTCCCGCTTCTCGCGTTGCCACGTCCCGCGCCGCCGCCCTGTCCATGTATGCATAGGGTGGTGACCACGGCGTGGCCTACTACGTCGGCTGCTCGGTGGAACCGACCACGGCGGAACGATGTAGCAGCAGCAGCAGCAGCAGCAGCAGCAGCAGCAGCAGCAGCAGCAGCAGCAGCAGCACCGTGCCCCGTCCACCGTCGCGCTGCCCCACCGCGGCCGCAACCCGATTTCATCGTCCATGTACATGCATGTACTACTCGAGCTGCGTGCCGACCTCCTTCAACCTGTTCAAACCGCTCCAGCCGATCCACCCGCCGTGCCGTTGTGGCGGTCAACCAGACCTCGTTGGACCAGGTCGCCCGTTTCCAGGATTGCATGGTTGGGGCCATGATGTCTCCCAGGTGTCATGGCCCCTCCGCTTGTTTCAACGCGTCCCCTGGCCCCCGTCCGCGCACACGCCTCGGGCCATGATGCGCACACACCCCATTTTCCTGCTTCGATCACCGCGGGTGGGGGCCATGGGAGGGGACTATGAGCGGATGCTAAGGTGGGTCATGTCTGGCCGAACCTAACTGACATGTGCGTTACAAGTGCCCTAAATAGCTTTGGGGTGAAGACATTTCCGCTAGTGGGCGGAGTCCACCTAGCCCGGATCTCTAACTCCCCCAAAGCCACTTAAGAAGCCTCGAACCAATTGAGACGCTATGTTGGACCAGGTTTAAGCCACTTTGGCATCCGCTTATAGGCCTCCTTAACCGTCGGTCGTAAAAAGTATACATGTTGAGACGCCTAAGTCCCGATCTACTTTCGGCGCCTTCCTACTTCAAGAGTGGAGTGGTCTTCCCTCTTCCCTCATCCCTCATCCTCTGCGGGCGGGCGGAAGCCTGAACTACTTTCAACACCTTCCCGCCTCGTATTTCTACCCACTCTTGGACGCCGTGTTCGATCTAGTGCTGGTATTTGTTATTGACGTTTGCATCGTTGACGTTTGCGTCGTTGACGTCGCGGCTGCTGACGTCAAGGTGTACTTTGTGCTAATGCTAGTTATTGTCTATGTCGTCGTGCTCAACGTCTTATTCGTCGCCGTCAGCTTGCCTGTGATGCCGTCGATCGCTGGCGCGCTGAGGCTTTCAAATCTCCTCGGCAAACCACTGCGGTGCTTCGAGCGGCACCCCATCTGGCACGACCGGTCCTCTGCCCGCGGTCCCCGCGCCTTGCCCCCCCCCCCCCCCCCAGGAGCCGGAAGTCAGCCACGCGCAGAGGGGGGGGGGGGAGGGGGAGGCCTTCTCAGAAGCACCCCTGCTTTTTAGAAGGCGCGGGCCTTATCTATAGATGTAAGGCCGGCGCCTTCTAAGAAGCAGCCTCCTTCTGAGAAGCCCTCCCCGCTCACTCCACCCCCTTTGTGCGCGCCGCCCAGGAAGAGCCCGCCTTTGCTGGGCACCACGGGCGGGGGGTAGCGGGGGGCGACCCAGACGGGGGGTGAAGAAAAGGGCTCCAAAAGGGCACTTCGGGGCCCCTATTGGAGCCAGCAGGGGCCCAAACGAGGCCCTATGGTGCCCCTGTAGGGGCCCTTTTCTTTACCCCACGTCTGGGTCGCCCCCCACTACCATCAGGTCGGGCGTGTCCTCCTACAGGACAAATGTGAACGACAAATACACAATTGCCCAAAAATATTGCAAAATAGCAAAAAAAGATTAGAACCATCCTCCCCATATCATTTTCTTACTATTTTTGAATATTCCTCCTGTAGAGGGACGTGCCCGACTTGACACTGCCACCCGCCCGAGCACCCCGCCCGAGGGCGTGCAGCCCCGGGACGTGCTCGCCAAGGGCATGAACGCTCCGCGGCTGCGCCGGGGGGCAGTGCAGGCCCGCGCCTCCAAGGATTCCGAGGAGGGGCAGGCCGCCAGGACCGCTCGCGAGGCCGCTGGACCAGTGGCCTTTCCTTTTTGGGAGCAGCGTCACTCATGCGATCACTGGGGGCGTGGATTAGCGAGGGGTCCCGCTTACATGAGAAATCGAGGATTTTCGCCGCCGAACGAGGCGGCACCAGCCGCATTTGGGGGAGGGCACTTCCCCCGATCCATGGATTTGGCGACCGCGCGACAAATCCATGGATCGCTAATCCATGCTTGCGCGCCCCCGAGTCACAGCGATGCTGCGAAAGGACGGGGGCGAGCTCACCCATGCAAGAACGGACGACCACGGGCAGTCAAACTGTTGATTTGTTCAAAAATTATGATAGGAGGAGGGGCAGTTGATCGACTGGACGTAAGAGTGACCTTTCGCCGGAGTGAGTTTTCGGTACCTGCCCACGGTGGTCCCCCGATCGTGGAGCTCGAACCGGTAGCAGCGGCATGCTCGCCCAGGTTTGGCCACCCCGCGTCCCTTTTTAAGCCGCGCACCATAGGCGTTCCACTACTCGCACTCCTCGAGGATCACCGAGCGCGTTCTGCTAATCGCAGAGAGCCTACTCGCAAACGTTTCAAACAAACGTAGGTTTCTTCTGATGCAGTGGATCGTAGATCACTTGCGGCGAATCCAGGCCAGTTGCGAGCAGTTCTTGTTGCGAGTAGTGGAACGCGCATGAGGAGGGGCAGCTGAGACAATGGTAGTGCGAGCCCCAGAAGTATGAGGGGAGGCCCCCCCCCGTTGTCCGCTCTCGAGGGGGGGGGGTCAGCGCTCCCGGCGGCGAAGGATGCATTAGTCTTCTCCCCTTTGCATTGCGTCCCCCAGCCAGCGTTTCGGCCTCTCCTGCCTGCTATGACTCGCGTGATGTCAAGAGTGGCGCCCCTGGCAATGTTGGACCGCCCAAACATGTAGCATTCTTGGCCCCACAGGCTCTTTATCATCCCGACGGTCAGGAACTTTGGTTTAGCGTGTTGTGTCGCGCCGCCGGTTATGGACCAGTGCACTTCGGCGCGACGCGCTATCCACATTCCAGTCCTCAGGCGTCAGCGTCTCGAGCCTTTCCCAGCTTCCCTCCCCGCGGAGCAGAGCAGCACGCTATCAGGTTGCAAGGGATAGCATGTCGCCGAGGCCGCCGCCGCGACACGCCAAGCAAAAGTTCCGGACCGTAAGCTCACATGAGTCGGACTTCGGGAGGGGCCCTCGTCTCCAACGCAGGACGCAGCTCGGAAAATTGGTGCGCTTGGCCCCTGGGAGGTGTCCATGGATCGGTTTTGAGCTGGCGTTGTCTCAATCCGACTTTCTCTGACAAATGGAGCTGTAGTAGATGGGGTCGGAAGATCGAGCCGCATCGCCGATGCATCGGCGATGCGGCTCGATGTGGAGCCCGACTTTCTCCACGCCGACGTCGCCGATGCATCGGCGATGTATAGGCGATGCGTTGCGAGGCCTCCATTGCCCATTCCGATTCGATCGATCCGATTCGATTTCGAGTTAGCCCGACTTGATCCGATTCGATTCCGATCTTGCTGGCGATCCAGTGCGGCCCGATGTTTGCACGGCGCTGTTGTGGATGTTGGCGCGGCTGATCCGATTCGATCTCGATTCCGTCTCGATGCTGCCTGATGCGACGCACGTTCCAGTCCGACCCGATTTCCCGATTCGCTGACGGGGCCAGGACGAGGATAAATCCGTTCCAGAGCGTTCCGGAACGCTCTCAGAGCGTCCCAGATTGCTCTGAGAAGGCCGCGGCGCCCGAGACATCCTTCAGAGCCGCCGGACCCCAGACATATTCTCGCTTTCTCCTCACCCGATGTGATCCTCGTCCTGGCTCCGTCTTCAATCTTGCATGGGGCGGGCGGAGGAGGAGCTGGACCAGAGGAGGGCCAGTCGAGAACGGTAGTCTTCTCTTCGTCGCCTGGAGGACGAGAAGGGACGAGGAGGAGGAGGACGGACGAGGAGAAGGAGTACGAGGAGGAGGAGGGACGAGGAGGAGGGACGAGGAGGAGAGAGGAGGAGGAGGAGGAGGAGGAGGAGGAGGAGGAGGAGGAGGCCTCGTCCCTGGGAGAGGGCCTCCTGGAGGCTGCTCGTCGCCACGACGGGGCCCCCTCCGGGGACGGAGTGGGCGCCGCAGCTCCGGAGCATCGCCGGCGCATCGGAGATGAGTCGGCGACGTCGACGACGCACCAGCGCCGTCCGCGCGATCCTGCGACCCCATCTGCTCGGACCCAACTCGGAAGGCCTCCAGAGCAGGGAGAGGAGGAGGAGTAGGAGGAGGAGGAGGAGGAGGAGGAGGAGGAAAAGGAGGAGGAGGAGGAAAAGGAGGAGGAGGAGGAAAAGGAGGAGGAGGAGGAAAAGGAGGAGGAGGAAAAAGAGGTAGCGGAGGAGGAGGAGGCGGAGGAGGAGGAGGAGGAGGAGCCAGGTTCCGCCGTTCATCCTCCCCCCGGACTTCGACGCACGGCGCGACGTCCCTGTGTACAATTGGGAGAAGGGCTTCATGAAGGCCATCCTCCCTACCCCCCTTCCTCTTCTCCAGCGGCAACGAGAGATTCGGATGCAACTCCTGGGAGGTCAAATTCTGATTTTGCCTTGGTCCGAAATCCGGCTTAATCCTGCTTAATACCGCTTAATCCGGCTTAATTCCGCTAAATCCAGTTTAATTTGGCTTAATCCAAGGCCCACTCCGGCATAATAGTCCCCCAATGGGGCTTAATCCTCCTTAACCTTTCCGACGAAAACCTCCCAGTAGTTGCCTCCTAAGAGAGAGGGGAGACGTCAGGGACAACGTTCGAGGGGTGTGTGCGCATAACTATCTTTGGGGGCTCGTGAAACATCGACGTGCTTTAAGCAAGGCTCGTCCGCGACATCTCCTTCTCAAAGTTTGCTGCTTCGGAGAGCGGGTGCCTCTCGCGCTCCCCGGCCCTGCAGGCGCGCCCAGGCCGCGGGTCGCCCACTCCGCGGTGGTCGCGCTCCTGGCGGCGGCCGCGGGCGGCCTCGGGGGGGCGGAGCTGCTGGGCTTCGAGGCACCAGAGCCCTCGCCTGCTCCAGCTCCCCCTCCACCTTGGCCGATCTGCCAGGCGCCGCTGCTGGGGGGCTGCCCGGACTGCCCCGAGGTGCCAGCCTGCCCGGCCTTGCCCCAGCTGCCCAGAGCCGGCGGCGAGCGGGCCAGGCTGCCTGGAGCAGGTGGCCTCTCACCTGCTGGCAGGAGGGCTCTGGCGGGCGGCGGCGTGGGTCCAGGGACGGGCCCGCAGGCCCGTGGCCAGGCGCGGGCCCGCCGAAGGCCAGCCCCCCCGCGATGTCGCTGCTGATGTTCGAGGGCGGCGGGGCGTGGTGGAGTGACCTGAAGCCAAGTCAGACTATCGGGATTCAATATCGTGGCGATGATGTCGACCACGAACGCTTGCGGTTGCACCCGTGCACCAAGGATAGAGACGTCTGGTACATCGCCACCCCAGATCTCGACGAGTACCCAGAGGCCGGGACGATCGGCCCGGACGCCGACATCATCAAAGCCTATCCGCTGCCCGACGACGGGAGCAAGCCGGCGTGGCTCAAAAGGAACCTGTACCGGTTCCGTGTCTACCCCGACCGCGACGAGCTGGCCGCCATGATCTGGCGCGGCTACCAGGCGGCCGTGGCGTACGACCCGACCGCGGAGACCGCCCCGCCGGCGCTGAAGGATGCGCTGCTGCCGACGGGCGAGGAGGTCGCCATCGAGGAGCTCATCCCCAGCTGGCCCGAGCCTGCGCGCCGGAGGCGGGGCAAGCAGAGTGCGACTGCTGGGGTTGGCAGTGCTGGCCCCCGTCTGCCGCCGCCTGCTGATGCCCCGTCCTCCAGGCGGATGGACGCCGAGCAGCCGCCGCCGGGCCTCCGTTGGCACGCGATGGGCTACGGCGACACGCTCTCGCCCGGCGACGAGGCCGCCCTGCAGGGGCAGACCTTCGTCGCGGCTGGAGATGGCGATGCGCTGGTGCTGGATGGGTCCAACTACGCGCACTGAAGGCTGATGCGCCCTGGGGCCGCGCTGGATTTCCTGGCCAAGGAGCGCGCTCACTGGCAGCCTGCCAAGAGCGACGCTGTGGATGGCACCGACACCTCTCCCTTGGTGGACGCTCCTAGCGTGGGCTTCGAGGGGGCCGAGGGGGCCAGGGCTGGCCGAGGCCGGCTGGCCCCCTCGGGCGGCCCTCCGAGGGGCTCCCTGGGGCTCGAGACGGACGACGCGGCTGCAAAGAAGGATGACGACCCTGCTGCCGACAGTCGAACATTTGGGGTCGACTACGATAACCAGGGGGGGCGTTTCAAAGCATGGCGAGACGTGACCCGAGAGAGCACTCAAGAGACGTTCGCGGACACGCCCCTCGAGGGTCCAGGCGCGACCCTGTTCCTGTGCAAGCACTTCGACCGGCATGGTGGTGATCCTCAGCAGCGGCTCCTTCTGTGGCTGCGGGGGCGCAAGATAGATGGCTCAGATCGCACGTGTCACGAGATGAAGGTCCTCTGCGATGTGCTCTACTTCGCGGGGCTGCATGATCATGTGAATGTCGGAGCCTTCGCCTCGCTGGAGACGCTCAGCCGACGGATCCAGACGACAATCGACGCATAGCAGAACCCACAGAAGGTCACCGGGGAGCACGCGAGGCTGTGCATGGGCTGCATGGGCACTGGCACGCCGGACAACCCAGTCAGCCCGGCGCTGCAGTCGTTCGCGGCGCGCCGCGCCATGGATCGGGCCGACGTGATCGCGGCCCTCGGCCAGGGCGGCTCGCGGGGCTCCGCGGCAGCCCGACGGCCGGGGCCGAGGGCGCCGAGGCCGGCGACGCCGCTGCCGGCGGCGGAGGGCGAGGAGGACGTGGAGGACGCGGCGGCGGAGGGCGCGACGGCGGCGGCTGCGGCAAGCGCGGGCTCGCACCCGCCGCCGCCGAGGCTCAATGAGCAGCGGCGCCGCCGATGGGGTCTCGCCCCGCCCTCGGCGGTCAGACAGGGGGCGCTGCATGGGGGCCCTCCCCCAGTTGGCCGTCTTATGAGGGACTTCTTCCCCCTGCGTGTTCCTGCGACGCCGGCGGGCCCAGCCGCTTCGACTCGCTCGGCGAGGAAGGCTCGGGGCCGCGCCAAGCGGCGCAGATGGATGATTCAGGATGCGGTCCACGGACTGAACTGGCTTGCCGGATACGACACCTGGGATCCTGCTCGGGAGCCGGCCGCGCCAGGTTTTTTCACACCCGAGGCGCTGGCCCGCGTGGAGGGCCTGGGAGCCCATGCCGGAGGCCCTGTCGGGGCGGAAGGCCCTTCGCGACCTCCTGCGCGGCTGGCCCCCGTTCGAGCTGGAGACCTGGCTCCGCGAACCTCGCGGCTTTCAACGCGGACCTGGTGTCCTTGCCCGACGGCGTCGCGGGCCCCCCCCCAATCGAGTCGCTTTTGGGCGCCGAGGTCTCTCGGCATTTGGGGGCCCATCATGCGCTGATGCTGCGACCCTTGACTGAGTTGGAGAATATTGAATATGAGGCGCGAGAGATCACACTTTACACTGACAGGAAGCTGCATTACAACAAAACAGCATACCATGGCTTCGTGAAGAGTCTCTGGGACCTCGGCATGCTCGGCGCGACTCTCCAGCCGCGGGAGAAGGTCGGGTTTTTTTTTCGTTTGGAAGACTAACAGGACACGCCTTAGGCTGATCACAGACGCTCGGAGGAGCAACTGCTGGTTCCGCACCCCTCCGGGGGTCAGGCCGCGCACCGCGGAGGCCTTCGCTAGCATTGAAATCGGCGACGGCGACGCGTCGAGCTCGGCGGGCCCCAGGCTGCACCTGGGCATGGCGGGCGCGAAGGACAGCTTCCACCGCCTCAAGGCCCCTGCCTGGCTCAGGCCCTTCTTTGCCCGGCCAGAGGCGCCTGCGCGGGCGGTGGGACTGAGCGAGCTGGGCGGCGCCGGGCTCAGGCCCACCGACGTGGCGTGGTCCACCTCGGCCCCTATGTGCACGGGCTTCGCGCGGTCGTTGTCCTTCGCCCAGAAGGCCGATGGGCGGCTGGCGTCCGTCGCGCCCAGACTGCGCGGATCTGAGCTTCTGCATGGCCGGTCGCCTCCGCCGGCGCTGTCTGAGGGCCGCCCTCGGCACTGCGTGTGCGTGGACAACCTGGGCGCCGTCTCCACCGACCTGGGCGTCGCGGAGCGCGCCGCCCGGGAGGGGGGGGCGGACTTCGCCGCCCACGGGCTGGAGCTGCACGGCGGCGAAGTGCTGAGCAGGGGCATCCGCGCCCTCGGCTGACGGCTGGACGGCCGCCGTCTAAAAACGGCTTCCGCTCCATAGCGATTTTGGAAGGTCTGGGCTGCGAGCAATGAAATACTTCGTCGAGGCATGTGTTCTGGTTGGGCCCTCGAGTGTTGGCTGGGTCGCGCTACCTTCTTGAGTTTCATCCAGAGAGGCCTCCTGTCCGTGTTCCACACCTTCTATCGATTCTATCGCACTCGCAATACCGATGTCGTTGTGGCCCTCAGCGCGCGACGGGATCCGAGCTTGGACAGGTTTGATGGTCTTCTTGGTTCAGGACTGGGGGCGGTGCTGGAGCGAGCTCGTGACCGAAAGTGGCGCCAGTGAGCAGGGGTACGGAGCGCGCGCGTCTTTCTGGCCTCAGGCGCAGGCGCCTTCGGTTACTTAACCGCATTTCGGAGAGGAGCAGATTTCAGCTCGCGGGCCACAGCGCCCGCGAGTTGGCCCTCAGCGCGGCCGGTCTGGTCCGGGGCCCTCGGTCTGGCGTCTGGGCATCGAAGGATCCCACGCGTGAGTCTGATTTTTATGTGACGCCCGAATTTCCCAGGTTCCGGCTGAGCTTCTCGACAAAAAAGACCTCTGGACTCCTCGTGTTTGGGGCACGTGGAGCTTTCCCGAGGACATCCTTATTCTCGAGGCTCGCGCCTTGGGTCTGGGGGTCCGTCGTTTCGCTTTGAACTCCCCTGGGTGCCACTGTAGGGTCCTCATGCTGAGTGGCAGCATGGGCATTGTTTTGGCTTTCGCGCGGCCCCGCTCACGCGGATTCCGTCTCCTCACTCATATCCGTCGGGCCGTGGCTTACAGCCTGTCTCGCAATGTAGCTGTCTATTTCAGGCGGATCCCGAGTGAATTTGATTCAGCGGGCGAACCCTCGCGTCGACGCGACCCCGATTTTCCGAAAAGGTCGACTGCCTGTTGCTCTCGCCCCTCTCCTCCGTTCTCAGCTTGGCTGAAACCTGACTACCCAGACATCCGACGACCTTGATTAAATTGAGGTCGTCGGGAAGACCTCAATTTTTTGATTGGGGTCGGGCACAAAAATTGGGGTCATCTGAAAGAATTGGAGTCATTTCAACATAGAGGGTTGTTATTTCAACATAGGGTTGCTACTCGAACATAAGATG